GTCAGGTTGGTCTCGAACTCCCGACCTCAGGTGATCCGCCCGCCTCGACCTCCCAAACTGCTGAGATTACAGGCGTGAGCCACAGCGCCCGGCTCAGGAGATTTCCTACAGCTCAAAATTTGTAAGGCAAAGAGATGACCACAAGTCTTGTGAGAGTGGAGAGCGACCTCGGCTCTCTTAGTCCCGCCTGGCCCACCAGGCACTGCACAGTACGGTAGAGGCCCCGCCCGACCCAGCCCTTTAATCGGCCTGTTGCAATCACTATCAACCCGCCAATTCTGGCCCCTCCCCTGTCTTCCGGGTTCACTCTCTCACTTCCTGCCGGGCCCAGGCTCAGGCCCCGCCTCCGTCTTGTTTGGAGAAATCCAATCGAACCTGGAGGGCTGCGCTCCGCCCTATGCCTCGCCCGCCTCTTCCAGGAGCAATCAGAATCAACTCAGGCCCCGCCCCCGCTTCGGTCCGCCGAGACCACGCCCCTTCGGCGCAATCAGGCCGCCTGCTGGCCCCGCCCCCTAAAGCCCCGCCCTGTCGAATCTTATCCCTGCGCTGCTTCTGCGGCTGCATCTTCCAGACTCCGCCCCGCGCGCGGAGCTGCAGCCATGGCAGTCACCGCCCAGGGAGCCCGCAGGAAGGAGCGGGTCCTCTGCCTGTTTGACGTGGACGGGACCCTCACGCCGGCTCGCCAGGTAGGACCCTGAAGTTTGGAAGCTCCCCCTGGGAGTGTCACGCGGACACCCCCGAGGCTGAGTGTGGGATCTGCAGCAGAGTGACCGTGGACACGCCGGGACCGAGTGTAGCATGCGGCAGTACCCGGCCCCCTGACATCCGGGGCCACCCACCGGGAGTGAGGGGACCTGGCCCTCCACGTCACTGCCCCAGCAGCGTCCCTGCCTGTGTTCTGCTTGGGAGTGTTGGGGTAGGATCCAGTACTGGAGGGAAGAGGCTGCGATCAGGGGCCTAGCTCCCTCTGTCCCCAGATGCTTTCACATGCCCCTAGGGCCTGGCTCCCGGAGGCCCCAGCCTCCTGAGCTGGGGATCCCACCCTAGTTCAGCCCTACAACGCACCAGTGGTCAGAGCTGGCTTCTGAACCGGGGTTCCAGGCACACAAGCACGCAGCCAAGTGTCAGTCACCATCTGGTAGGAGACAGGGGGTCTCAGAGCCTTCCCACCCCGACCTTTGCAGGCCTGGGCCTGGGTCTAGTTTCTGAAGCCCTATCATCCACTTTACCTTCCACCCCCAGTCGTGGAGCAGAGAGGGCTTCTTTTCAAATTCGTTTATGGGCTCTACCCACCCGTAGGTGAGAGGCTTCAGGCCTAGTCTGTTTGCTGTGAGGACACTGAGGCATAGTGAGGGTAAGAGTGTGGTTTTCTTCTAAAGACTCACTGTGTTGAGCCTCTTACCTCTGCTCAGTTTTTCTCCCACTGGGTCTCATTGTGAGTGAGTCCCCAAAAGCCCCCTCACCAGCTGGATGCATCAGTAAGCAGGTTTCATTCGTGCCCTCCCTGTGGGTAACCCACCCTCCAGTCTGGGGGCCTCAAGGACCAACCGACAGGTCTCCTAGCGTGGGGGAACAGTGGGATGGGCTTTACTGGGCAGTGGCTGATGGGAACCCAGGTCTTAGCCTCCTCTCTTAGGTCCCAAATGCCCCTCCCCATCCTCTGTGGTGAAATTACCCTGGCTTGGGCCCTGGGGACTCAAGGAAGAATCAGCCCGCTCAGCCTTCCTGCAGGGATGCTCTGCCTTCCTGCAGGGGTGGGTCCGGGAGGAAGATAACAGGACTGGAGGAAGATGACAGGACTGGAGCGAAGGTGGGCTGGGTGCAGTGGCTCATGCCTGTAATCCCAGCACTTTGGGAGGCTGAGGTGGGTGGATCACCTGAGGTCAGGAATTCGAAACCAGCCTGGCTAACATGGTGAAACTCTGTCTCTACTAAAAATACAAAAATGAGGTTGGGTTCAGTGACTCATGCCTGTAATCCCAGTACTTTGGGAGGCCGAGGCGGACAGATCACAATGTCAGGAGTTCAAGACCAGCCTGACCAATATGGTGAAACCCCGTCTCTACTAAAAATACAAAAAATTAGCTAGGCATGGTGGCATGCACCTGTAATCCCAGCTGCTCGGGAGGCTGAGGCAGGAGAATCGCTTGAACCAGAGAGACAGAGGTTGCAGTGAACCAAGAATGTGCCATTGCACTCCAGCCTGGGCGACAGAGTGAGACTCTGTCTCCAAAAAAAAAAAAAAAATAGCTGGGCGTGGTGGCATGTGCCTGCCCATAGTCCCAGCTACTCAGGAGGCAGAGGCAGGAGAATCGATTGAACCCAGGAGGTAGAGGTTGCAGTGAGCCAAGATTGTGCCATCGCACTCCAGCCTGGGCAACAAGAGTGAAACTCCATCTCAAACAAACAAATAAATAAATAAAAGAACTGGAACAAAGGTGGCAGGGCCTAGGCTCAGTTCTGACGCCTCCCTCTGACCTTTTGTTCCACAAACATAACAACCTGAATAAGAACAGCCTATTAATTTGTCTACGGGCCAGCCTCTGTGCTTAGTGCCTTTTGAAAGTTAATTTTTAATTGTACACATATTCATGATCACACTCTCCTGGTAAAGAATGAAAACCTAACAGAGAAGGGTAAAGTCCCCTCTGACTACACCAGGATCCCAGGCCTGGCCCCCCTCCCCAAGGTAATGTGGTTACTGTGGTGTGGCTTTCCTCCAGGCCTTTATCTGGATCTGTTTGCCCAGAGCAAATATTAAACATTGTTTTGTGGGGCTATTTTTGTTGTTGTTGTTCTTTGGCTCCTCAAGAATCAACTTGATTGTGATGCTATTTTGTTGTTGTTGTTAGAGACAGGGTCTCGCTTTGTCAGCCAGTCTGGAGTGCAGTGGCGCCATCACAGCTCACTGCAGCCTCGAACTCCTGAGCTCAAGTGATTGTCCCGCCTCAGCTTCTGGAGTAGCTGGGACTACAGGCGAGTGCCACCATGCCTGGCTAATTTTTTTTTTTTTTGGAGACAAAGTCTTGTTCTTGTCCCCCAGGCTAGAAAGCGATGGCGTGATCTGGGCTCACTGCAACCTCAACCTCCCGGTTTCAAGCGATTCTCCTGCCTCAGCCTCCTGAGTAGTTGGGATTACAAGCGCCTACCACCATGCCCAGCTAATTTTTTAACTTTTGTAGAGACAGGGTTTTGCCAGGTTGGCCGGGCTGATCTCGAACTCCTGACTTCAGGTGATCCACCCGCCTGGGCTTCCCAAAGTGCTGGGATTACAGGCATGAGCCACCGCGCCCGACCGAAA